ATATATATATAAGGGTTCTTTAACAAAGATTTCAAAATGTTTGAATTGTTTCATACAATATAATTTTTCTGCTTATGTTCGTAATTCATTCACGGAGTGTCTTTATATTTATACAATCTCCTCCCGTGAGCTCTCATTTTTGATACACAAACTCTAGGTGGTGGCTGGATAGCAACTGATTGCCAGTTGAAAGAGATCAGTTCCCACGGAGGAAATGGCCACTTTGGAAGGTGGCCTCTGTGGAAGTATACACTACTGAAATCCCTCCCCTCCCCTCCTCAAACCCCACCCTCCCACAGCTCCACCCCTAAAATCTCCAGGAATGTCCCAACCTGGAGCTGGCAACCTTACTCATACTGTCTCCCAGCATGCTTTTCTGAAAAGTGAGTTTCTGTTCAGCTGATTTCCCCCCAAGTGTTTATCCAAAGGCTGCGTCTCTGTGGAGCTTCCCCGGGAGCCTGGCTAAGGGTTTCCTGATTAAGACTCAGGCCAAAAGGGGAACAGGCCAAAAGGGGAACTCTGTGAAGTACAAAGTCACAATTTAAACTTGAACATCGGCTGAAAGAGCACTGAGGGGATAAAGGAACCTCTGAAGCCAGAATCAGCAATACCAATTCTACAATGGGGAGTTAAAGTCAACACCCAACTTGACCTTTCCGACTGAAGCTGGCATTCCGCTTCTCGATATTATCTCGATATAACTGTGCCATACAATGGCCTAGCCTGATAAGAGCTCTCTCTTACTAATTGGAATTTGTTCATATTAGTTTACATACACAATAGAGCCACCCATATTTTGGCATTACATTCAGTGTCTTGGTTATTTTTTATTATCCTCTCTCTTTACTGGGCAAAAATACTGGCTCCTCATACAGAGCTGCTACAAAGGATTACTGAGCTAATGAATGAATAGTTTTCAGGTCTTAATGCCTGAAAAATTCCAGAGGGCTATTTGGCTTCAGCCAAAAGTCGCACCTCTTGTGGCAAAACCTGTTGTGAACTTCCGGCTCTCAGAAACATGCCACACTAAATGTATGAGTCTTCAAGATGCCACAAGACCTGTTGCCCTCAAAGAAGGAAAGCAGCACTGGGGAAAATGGCATCCGAATGACGCTGATGAGGAGGAGGACGGTGTTCCTGCCGTCCCTCTTCCTTCCCTTCTCCTCAGCAGCGGCCAGACTGTGGCCACGGCCCTCTCCAGCCTGCCCTTTCCCTCCCCTCTTCCATCCCAGGTTACTCACAATTACGGTCAAGCAGTGATTCACAACGAGAAAACACGACACGTACCTTTTTCGACAGAGCTGATCAGAGTCACTGTAAGAGAAAACAAAGACATGTTCACACAGTAGGTGATATTTGCCGCAGTGGCCACTGTTGGAGAAAAACTCAGACTAAACATGGTTGTGGAGTAAATGAAATCAAACCCAGATCCTGTATAACCCTTGGCCGTCTCACCTGCATCTTAGTCCATTCGTCTGCTTGACAGAAGACCTTGTTCTAGCATGCATTCATTTCTCCACTCCTTCAAAATCTAAGTTTTCCTGAGAGTCCCAATGGCATGGCTGACTGAGAGATAATCCACACCCCACCTGCCCAGAAGGGATGGGCCGGACCCCGACCACGTCTTCCAGGGACAGAGTGGAACTTTCCTGGCCCCTTCCTCTGACCTCCACCAAATGCTACTGGGGGGGGAGCCTCTGCAGCATCAAGGGGGAATCAGTGGAAACTGTCCTTCTAGTCGGTATCTGGCCCAACATCTTTATTTACCAAGACCTTCTTGGAACACCACTTGGACTTCAGCAAATAATCCCGGGAAAACTGGAACCAGCGGCAAGTGCCACGTGCGAAATCGGCCAAAGCTTTCCTCACCCGCTACTAGTACTAACTTACCAAAGCTAATGAAACTCTGTTGTCACCAAATACTGCTGGAGTAAAAGGGCTTAGAGAGAAGAGGTCCTGCAGAGGTCCACAACAAACACACCACACAACAATTTGGGAATAAAAAACAGGCCACAGCCTTTTTTGATTACAGACCAAGGAGCACTGGCAAAGCATGGGGGCGGATCCTGGAAAATCAAGTGACCCGCCTGCCCGCCCGATAACCACGTCCCTCAGCCTGCCTGCCAAGGGAAAAACCTGGGAGTGACAAATACTACTGGTATCACGAGGGTGACTGCCGCTGAGTGGTACCAATTTGACACCTGGGGTGAGCCTGGGCACAGCCCCCGAGATGAGCCTACCCAGGGGTCATTTCGTAGAAAAAGAGATGCAGGCGCTCATTAGCCTAGTTATGAGTTCATTAGCATAACTTATTTGAATGTGTCACACCCCCTGACATCACCGGAAAAGTGTGTCAGAAGGCAACACCCACCGCTCAAGCGCCACTGGACTGTTTTGGATTGCCAGCTATTGGGGAGGGAACGTGCAGATCTGCCCTCACAGAGGAGGGAAAGCTTGTACCTGAATAAAACCTGGTCTTAAAGGTGCCACTGGACTGTTTTGGACCAGGGGGGGCTCTGCAGCTTACCTGGCTGCTTCTTGCTCTAACTGGGAGCAGGGGGTGGGACTTGTTACATGTGCCTGCCCTCAGGGTTCTTTACTGCCGGAGCGCCGCTCCTGTGCGCTCCTGCAGGAAATGACCCCTGAGCCTACCACGTGGTGGCTCAAACCTTAAGGGGGTCCCCGACAAAGGGGGAGGTGGACACGCAGGCCCTGAAAAAGGATCCACCCAGATGCGCAAAACCGTCAGCTGTGATAGCAAGGAACTTAGAAAACCTTTAAACCCAGGGAGGGTGGTTGGGGATCCAATGAAAATCGCACTGCCACACCACACAGCTTAAATTCCCCCAGGCAGGCTCTATGTCATCACTGCATAGAGCCTGCCAAATCCAAGGTGACCAATCAGCTGGCCCCACCTAGCTAGCGTGGAGCCAGCCAATGCGGTCGCCCCAGGTTCCCGCCTTTACTGGCCGTTAGCCTGATGGGGGGGGGGAGAGACCTCCTCCAGCCCTCTTCTGCCCACGCAGCAATTCGGCCTTTTTTCAGGTTAGTCTCGGCCGCTATTGTTTTGCACGCCCAGATTTACACAGAAACCTCACTGCCCAGATCTCTTGTATTCTGTGGACTTTTGAGCCCAGTGGTTAAATGTCCCAAGAAGCAAGCTTATCTGTTGCCTCTCTTTGGGCTCAGTTGAAGAGCCTCTGCATTGCATGTAGAAGGTCTGAGGTTCAATCCCCAGCATCTCCAGTTGACAAATACCAGGTAGTAGGTGGTGGGAAAGATCTCTCCTTGAGACCCTGGAGAGCTGCTGCTAGTCTGGGTATAGAATACTGACACTCTGATGGACAAATTCTCTGATTCAGTATAAGGCAACTTAATGTCTGTTCATGCCTGTATTAGCAGCCTTCTGGGCAGCAGTTCATCAGGAACTTTTCCGGGAAGTTAAAAGGTTTGTTTTTGTTTGGAAGGGGAAGGGCTGTGGCTCAGTGGAAGAGCCCCTGTCCTGCATGTAGACAGTCCCAGGTTCAGTCCCTGGCAGCATCTCTGGTTAAAAAGGACCAGGAAGTAGGTGATGGTGTTAGCCTGATTGCTCTGAGTTATTATCAATATAGAGGAATATGAGATATTATAAAATAGCAATAGGCAATAAGGGAACAAACACCTTTATATACAGGGGTCCTGCTTCTTCCAGAAGCACCAGAAATAGACACGGAGGCTGGTTTCAATATAAAATGATTCCTTTACTGCAAACAATACACAAGCACACAAACACAATTACACAGCTTCTAGGAAATTAGATAGAAAAGGATAGCCACATTCACATGTGCAGGATGTTTAATTGAGGGGCAATACTTTACCAGTCCTCGATGTGATGAAGCAATCCACAGGAAAAACGAGGGAGACTATGGGGTACTAGGGTCATATTCTGAGCCAGCAGAATAGGTGGAGACTCTGGCTGCGCAGACCAGGAGGCTTAAAGGTAGGGTGGGGCTAGAAGTCAGGGGAGAGAGAGAGAGAGACCACATGGCTGGGTTCCCCCTTTTATGAGGGGGGCTTGGGCCAGGCTGGCCACATCCCCTAGTTACATGTCTCTTGGGGGTGGCCTAAGCTGGTCACTAGTCCGTCCCCAAAAACATGCTATTGGAGCAGGGTACAGGGGGAGGGGATTAAGGGTGTGGACAATATTGAGATCTAGTAACTTTGGGCAGAACAGTAGCACCTGAAGGAATTATGACTCATGCAGCCAGAGTCATTGTCATGAAAAAGACTTGATTGCTTCAGCTAGGTGAGAGACTCTGTGGGGGAGGGGAATGCTGCCTGCGTGTGCTGGAAGAAGCTTCTCCTGGCGTTTGGATTCCTTTGTCTCTGGTCTTCTCCCTTGGTTTATAGGGCTACACATGGCTAGGGAACTGGTCCATCTTACAGCCAGCAAGAGGGCAGGTGACTTCCAGGAACCATTAACACAACATCTCACAGGAAGGCTTTCTGCTTCTGGGTGTGTGTGTCTAGCTGGCATCACTTTTGGGTCACCTCACAGTTCAGTCCCTATTTGCACACTGCTTGCACAGTCCAAGGATTTTATTACTTATGAATTATGTCCATAAGGCATTAGAAGAGCTTTGCAGGGCAACAATGGGAAAGACCTCTTCTGCCTGAGACCCTGGAGAGCCCCTGTCAGTCTGAGGAGACAGCACTGACTTCGATGGACCAAGGGTCCAGTTCAGTATAAGGCAGCTTTGTATGTGTGTCCATGAAAGTTTATACGCTACAACCTGTTAGTCTTCAAAGGGCTGCAAGAGACGAGTACGGCTACCTTTCAAGTTTATTGGATGTGCCAGCCACTGGGGACAAACCCACAGGTTGCTCTCCCGAGGGGACGTCCAGGGTTATCCGGACTGCTGTGCTCTCTGCAAAACAGAATTAGGTGCTGTACCCAGAATGTAAAGCATTTAATTTTGAGACAGATTCTTGAGGATCTCTGCATTAGTCTGTATACATGCACGCTCTGTGAGCATGCACACCCACAGACACTCTTAGAGGATAGCAGGATAGGGAAACAATGTTTTGCCAGGTGTGATCAAAAGACAATCAGATATATGAAAAGCCGAGAACCAGCCTGTGAGATCCGGAGCTAAAGCCAAGCATGCGGAGTCCTGAAGGGAACGGCGTGTCCCCAGAGGCTCCGCCACACCGGCTCTTGTGGGCTGATCCTCCATGTGCCTGACACCGCAGGTGAGAAAGGGTCACCGTATACTGGGGGCCTGCTGTCTCAAAAGCAAAATTGCAGGAACTCAATGTGCTCTGCTTTCCCCTGGCCAATGATGACACCCTGCATCTTCCATTTCCAGGCATTTACACAGGAAAGAAGAGGAGGAGGAGGAGGAGGAGACAGAGAGCGGCAGTTTTCAACAGCAGCCAGGCGTCCTCCCAGACTGAATGAGCCAAGCCAGAAGAAATGGCTCCAGCCCGGGAATAAAGTCCTTTTCAGCAGCTTCGTGTGTAACCCTTACAGCTGCAGAGAGAAGTCTGAAGATAGGCAGGGAGATCCTGCCAGAGGCTCAGAAATTGGAAGAAGGTGTATGAGAGGCAGTGCCTCCCTTCATTGCCCACTTCCTTGCCCCGTCTCTGTACCAGCTCATGGGTCCAGCTCTCCGCTTGACTGTTTTAGGCAGCTGTGCCCCTGAAATAACAGTCTGCAACAAAAAAAATATTTGAAAAACATGTAACAGTGTGGTGTAGTGGTTAAGGGCGTCAGATCAGTATCTGGGAGACCCAGGTTCAAATCCTTACTCATGTCATGGAAGGTTGCTGGGTGACCTCAGGCCAGTCCCACTTCGTCAGCCTTCACCTACCAGGCAGGGTTGTCGTGAGGAGGATAAAACGGAAGGGAGGAGGAGGAGGAGGTCAGCTTCTTTGGGTCCCCACTGGGGAAAGAAAGGCGGGATTTAAAGTGAATAAAGGTATACTCAGACTGATCGACTGAAGGTTTCTGTGGCTGAGTCCCTTCCGGTGCACTTTCTGTCACTGTGGAATTCACACTTGACCAGGGATAGCTTGGCACTAAATTACTGGTGGAAAAGGGAGGAGTGATCTTTTTGTTTGTTTGTTTGACATGAGGTGCCTGAGGGAGACGGCAGGGCAGTTTGGGGCTCCTTTGGTCCTCCAGGGAGGCCACAGTCAGGGAGGGGGCTCTTTCGAGGGCAGGCTCCTTTCACGTTCCCTCACTCAGGATCAAGGACAGCGGAAATGCTTTTCTCCAGAGCGGGGGTGGGGGCACAGCAGAGAGGAGCAGCAGGGCACATGCCCCACTTGGC